GCATCCTTTTTATTAAAAAAAAAAAAAAAAAAAACTATTTAGTCACCACTTGTAGTAGCCTACACTTGAGTGTACTAGTGTATGAAAGATGGGTTCAAGTGTACTACAAGTGGTAACTAAATACGTTTTATAAATACAGAGATAAGTACAAAATTAGTCCGTGAAAATAGAGCACTTTAAGTACATTATGGAAGTGTACTTTTTTACTCTGGGAACATCACTCAAAAAAAGTTGCCTGGCAAAATTGCTCCAAAAGTTGCCCAGTGTATCATCAGCCTTAGAGTATTAGTAGATTGTCTAACACTTTATTTTGATGGTTCTACTAACCCTAACCCTAACCTAACAGTCTACTAATACAATAAATGTAGAGGTCTTCAGCCCTGTTCCTGGGGACACACTAGGCGTGTTTCCATTACCCTTCAAATTGCTCAAATTGAAATTGCGAATTGAAAATACACCTAATGGAAATGCGTCAATTTCGCAAAAACACCCATATATCGCAAAAATGTTTTTTACGCTGGCATGAGGTGGTTTTTCAGGCAATGCGAAAAAGGAATAATTCACAAAACTGCAATGGAAAAGGCTTTTTCGCATTTACAGGTCACATGGCATATGCAAAAAGTCATATGATCATTCTTCAAAGTAATATAACCTCCAAGAAACACTTCATACGTGGCCGCGCTCCAATATAAGGGGCTTCCCTACTATTAATGCTATACGTGGCCGCTCTCCAGTATAAGGGGCTTTCCCTAATGTTAATGCTTAGACAATTTACACTGCACACGTCTGCGGTGCAGTGTGACTCTGATATGGCCACTGAAGCTGATTGCGACCACAATGCTTGTGTTTATTCCAGAATCCAGCCGCGCCACGCACGTTTCTGAAGCGGCTCTCTGTGCTGCTTCTGTAAAGATACACGCATACGCCTCCTTTGAATAAATATAGCCAAAATCCGTCAAAATCCCACCAAAATCCGCATAACATTGGTTAATGGAAACGCCGTCATTTCGCAACACTTTTTTTATTGACATTTATAAAATATCGCCAAAGTTTTGCGCAAATCTGTAATGGTAACGCGCCTAGTGTCTCTTAGAGTTTAGCTACAACCTTAATCAAACACACCTGAAGCAGCCAATTAGGCTCCTCAAGATTGATTGAAAATACACAGGCAAGTGTGAAGCAGGTTGAAAGTAAACTTTACAGGTCAGTGGGTCCCTAGGAGCAGGGATGAAGTAATTATAGATACCTTGACTTGTTTTAATAAATTTGACACATCCTTGCTAAATAACAGCATTATTTTGTTTTCTTTTCGAGCAGCAAATCAGCATATTATGCAGAACGATTTCTGAAGGATCATATGAAGACACTAAAGACTGGAGTAATGATGCTGAAAATGAAGGTTTCCATCACAGCAATCAATTATATTTTAAAATATATTCGCATAGAATATAGCTATTTTAAATTGTATTAATACTTCACAATATTACTATTTTCTCAACATTTACTGTAGTTTTGATCAGATGATAGATAGATATATAGATAGATAGATAGATAGATAGATAGATAGATAGATAGATAGATTTTTGAACAAAGTGTATAGACCTAATAAAGATATGTTTTGGACAAGTAGTCTTTGTTTATAAACTAACAACCGCTCTTAGATCTGAGAAAAGTGCTGAAAAATAGAGATCGATCTGACATTTGGCACATGACTTTGAATGGTCAGAACACGGGTATTAGTTGGGTCAATGACTTTGGGCCATTATGAACATTTTTCAATAGACAAACCCTGTCAGCATCATAGCTATGAGTGAAACGAGGCCGTCAGTCACTGGTGTGAAACTTACTTCCATTACATTTTCCTAAGCTGTTTGCCTGTTAACATTTACAAAACTTAGTAATTAGGTTCCAAACGCATATGTTATACACTCTGAGAGTAGTAAAGGTAATAGGTCAGAGTTGTGGTGTTCGAATCTGTCCTGGGTCATGTCCTGATCTCACAATCTCTATTCATCACTACTTTTCTGCCCCACTCTGCTGTAAAGGCAAAAAGCCCAACAAATGTTATATAAGTAATGTAAATCATGTTAAACAGCCAGTCTGCCACAAAAGCAACAGCCCACACATGCTTACTTGGATGTTTCGCTGGTTTCACTCGTTGTGGCCTGTTAGGCATTGGAGCACATCATAGGAGCATTTATCCTACAAATATTCACCATCACACAGACAATTTTGGCTATTATTGCTATAAGCCTGTTATTTCCAGGTTTTAGGGAGGCCATTATGAGAGGCAGCTGTATAATATAGTTAATAAATTTGTTGTGTTTGAGGGTGTTATTTTGCTCATAGGCCACTTAGAGCTACATAATGGTCCGTTCTGATGCACAGAGCTATATGGGCTGATAGCCACCACAACAGGCAGAAAACAAAAGGAACAACAGATAATAATATGATAAACAGATATCGGAAAGTATTTTGTAACCATTACACCAAATGTTTCTTGGTCACTAAATACCCTTTTACTTTTTAAAGGAGTAGTTTATAAATAATCATTTCCTCGTCCTCATGTAAGTCCAACCCTGAACCCTCTCTGACCAAGTGTTGTAAAGTTGTGGGGAGGAAAACAAAACAAAACAAAGCACTTTTCAGGTTTTATATCAGTATGGCCAAATGTCACTGGTTCTCACATGTTTCCTAATTCATTTTGAATTGGGTATGTGCATATGATAACTTAGATGTCTTTATCTGACATAAATCATCATATGACTTCAGAAGATTATAATACATGAGCAATATAGACTACTTTTGTATCCCTTTTTGTCACTTGACAGCTCCTAGACATTGTGTTTCAATGTATGAAATGAAAGCTCACAGATTATTCAATATATATTATGTTGTGTTTCATGAAGGAAACCCAATCATACCATTTTGAAATGACGTGAATATGAGTAAATAATGAGAGAATACGCAAAAATACGCAATAGCAATTTCACTGACAAAAGCATTGCGACACAACCGATATAGCCGATATTTGCAGGTCATTTGGGAGCAGCCTAAAAAAGAACCTTCAATGCAGACAAGCCCATTGTGTCTAAAAGGTGGTAATACATACTTCATAATAATGAGCTCACTTAGCCTTTGTCTTGTGACAGTATTCAGGTGCAGTGACAACATATTCATAAAAGTACTTACTAGAGCAATGAGGCTAGTCAGCATGAAATGGTGGAATAAAAGGCAATGATGTGGAGAAAGAGATGACACACAGACCTGGAATCAGGAATGAAATGATGAGAGGGATGGGATCACACTCGCCGTAATGAGCACCCTGGCATTTTGACAAGTCAATAGCTCTGAGAGGAGTTACTTCTCTTGTTTTGAATGCTTTACGAGACCTTTTTTTTTGCTACATCCTGACATTTTATCTGTGCAGTAATATTGGTTTAAGTATTTTATTGTTGACTTGTGAGCGCTTTTCATTCTTTATCTAATATCTCGAAATGTATTGGAAGACATCTGCATTTTCCCTTTTTATTTTAGTGTACTATATACAGAATGTATTACATACTGCATGCTATTTTCAAAAACAATACAAGAACAAACAGTATGCAATAAACATTTTAAACGGCAACATTATTATCACATGATTTCAGCCTAAAGTTTGGCCTAAATAAAAATCTAATAAATGCAAACATGCATGACTGACTGAATGAATGACTGACTGAATGAATGAATGAATGAATGAATGTCCTGCATTCACCTCCAAAGAGGACTCATTTTTGAGTCTTTGGCTGGATATATTTATTTCTGTGCTCTTTTATTGTGAATCTGAGGAATTCAAGAGCAGCTCATTCCCCCTCTCGTTTGGCCACTTTTCGTCCTCTTCAGTTTGGACATGAAAGCCTCACATCTGAAAATGGAGCCATGCTACTGAGTGTCTTCACCAATTATTGGGAGGAAGGCTGATTTGTTTCCCATGTGTCCAGTGAGGCACAGAAAACCCAATCCACCACAATCTACATTTTCATCAAATTGATGTTAAACTGGGTTTATAGGCAATATAGGACAATGGTCTCAAAGGCTATAGATGCAAATGTGAATGTATAAATAGTCTCATTATGTGTGGTCAGGAGTGGGAAGATGATATTGATTCACAGAAACAATGGACTGCCTTTCTCTGCACTCAGTATGAATCTATGCAGTGTTGAAGACACATTGGTGGATTATTCATTTTCTGCCTTGGTAATCCACAGGAGGAGAGCTGATGTTGACATTTGTGAGTTTGGGATTTCCTCAGTGTGAAAATACCATTGATTTTTAAGATTTATCGAAATATCTCCCTTATATCAATCACTGTTGACTTTTATAGCAGTCAAGGTATCAAATGGAGTCAAGGTATCAAATAGAGACATCTATTCTTTCTTTATTTCTTTCTTTCTTTCTTTCTGGCATTTAACTGTGTTGTGAGCAGAGCAGTAGCAATAATCAATTAATGATAGATAGTAAAACGATTTTACTATCTTTAAGCTACTATCTGTCATTTTACATTCATTTGTAAATATGGCTAATGGTTTGCCTAATTGCATTTAGATTGTGTATTTGCAATGGTATTATTTTCTTATCAGTAAGTGTTAGGAAAGTAAACAAAAATTAAGTAAATAATTAAGTAATTCAATTAGTTCCTTTTTAAGGGAGTAATGCAATATTGTAATGCATTACTTTTAAAAGTAACTTTCTCCACCACTGGCTACCAGCAACTGTTTGGTTACCAACTTTTTTCAAATGATTTTCCTTGGTGTTCAGCAAAAAAAAACAAAAACAATTGGGTGAACTATTTCTTAAGCAAAAGTATTCTGGCACTTGTTCTCCATTTACTGTCACACTGTCTTGGTAAAAACAAACAAACAAAAAGCGACAGAAGGGGGGGGGGGCATTGCTTCTTTTATATAGT